TTTTGGTAACTGAGGTTGATCTCTACTTGGAATCCAGCACAGCAATGGGAGGGTGAAAGAGCCACTGTGGGACAAGATGGCCCACCTGCTCCTCAAATCTTATCCCCTGACTTCCTTACCAAGCAATAAGAAAGAGAGAAAGGGCCTTCAGTGAGCCACTGTCCCCTGCCCTCTCTCCAGCTAGCTTCCTTCCTGGAGCCTTAGGCTTCTCGTTTACAGAAGGTGCAAAGTCTGCTATAAATGGGGGCAGGCTCTGCTCCTTCCAAAACCAAATAAGGTCCTAAACACAGCCACCTACTATGTCCAGGGCCTCCAACTCTTGAGGACACATCTTTCAGCTAAGACAGAAAAAAAGTCTAAGGATCACCCTGCAGAGTCCAGCCATTCAGCACAGGTTCCCTCTACAGGGCTCTCCAGTTTTCATCTCAGGGCAGTTTCTGTTCTGCCCAGTTCCTGCTTCCATCTCCCTCCACCTTCCCTGGAGGTCCGGCCTTGCCCCTCTTCCTTCTGGCTGCAGGGACTGGAAGTGGCCCCAAGCCAAATCTCAGGAAGGCCCAGCCCCAGCCTACCAGGGAGGCAAACAGGAGCCAGGAGGCTTGGCTCTAGGGACCTGGCAGCTTGCTGAGCATGAGACAGGCCCAGACAGAACAATCTTGTGAAACTTCCCTCTTCTTTAGTAGTTAGCCTGCTTATCAGGTGGGCAAAGAGAAATTACTACCTAACACCAACAATGTGTCAGGCTAACTGGGGTAAGTTTTACCTGATTGCAATACCAGGTAGGTCATCATGCTCCCTTGGTTCCCTAGATTGCTCCACAGGCTCCTGGCAGGCAAATAGTCTGCCATTTAATGTTTAAAAGCCCTCTGCTCCTACTTGTCAGCCTTGTAGCTTTTCTTCCTCTTTATCAGCTGGAATAAACAGGTACTGCTTCTATTGTAAGCAGAAGATCATTTACTTTCTGGCTACCCATAAAGAAAAGGGATATTCATCATGTGAACTTGAAAATCTAATCTCCTCTCAATCTCACACCCGACCCCAACCAATCTGACTGACAACCTGTGCTGTGGTTGAGGAATTAGAAACTAAGCTGGTTTGTCATTTCTATCGATGGAACAACTTCCTTTCTCCTTTGGGTCTAGTATTTCCTCTAGTGTCTTAGTGTCTCTTCCCTGCTTCACCTCAACCAGATCCTTCTCAACTTGTATAAGTAAGACTGAATCAAAGAAGAACCCCAAAGGAGGCTAGCTGTAGACTATCGAGTTTGCTGTTGTATTATAAGGCTCAAGTGGCCAGATCCTGTGAGGGGATCCAGAAACACTGCAGAGAAAGGCAGCCTTGCCGAGAAACACAGAGATTCCAACCAACCCTTCCCCCAGCACACACCCCCACTCCACATATTGTTAAGATACAAATAGCCAAACCCTGAAGTTTGGAGAAATTGTACTATCATGCCCTACTTTCTAGTGATTTCTACCCTGAGTTCCTCTTGAAAAACAAGAGCAAAGCAACAGAGGCTGGAGAGAGACACTCACAACTAGGCTCAACTATTCTCCTGTTAGACATAAACAATCTCACAGAATACCAGCCTCACAGGGTCACTCTGAGACCACGATAAAATGAGGAAAGTCAAGGCCACTGCATAACTTTAAGTACAGACAAAATCAAGGTCACTATGCCACCCACAAAAACCCACACACCTGCTCCCTTGGCTAAAATCAGTGACTGCTTTATTACAGCTTTATTCTCTTGCTAGTTTCCCTCCCTACAAATAAAATTCATTGAAATACACAATCATGGACTTGCCCCTGCTTTCTGATAATATCCAACATAGAGCAAACCCTTTCTTCAACCCTCCCCAAATGACCCAACCAAAGCCCAAACGCTGTAATGCTTCCAACTTCCATTGAGTCACCTCGTGGATCCCCATGGTGTGTTCTCACTCACTGCAACGCCTGCAACTAGTCACAGTCCCAAGTTTTTTCCACAATAGAGCTCTTGAATTTATTCCTCCAACTGAAATTTTGTACCCTTTGATCAACTCTAACCCCGTTAATTTAACTGCAATGTGTTCCTGGCAGGTTTTAGCTGAAGGGCGTTGATACTCTCCAAGTTACTCTTCTCATCCTTATCTCCTCTAAGAAATAAGGTTTATTTATTCCTTCCTGGTATAGGTGTATTTATTTATCCATCACCATGAAGTGATTAAGAATATGAACTCTGGAGTCAAAGTACTTGGCTCCAAATCCCAGCTCTTTGACAAGTCACTTAGCTTCTTGGAGCCTGCTTCAGAAAAACTGGTCTCTCCCCACACAGGACTGGGAGGATTCAGAAAGATAAGTAAAATGTGCATCAGCCTACAGGAGATGCCAATCGGGAAGTTATATCAGGGAAAGTGATACAGAGCAAGCACTTAATTTATTATTTATGTCCCACCCTTCACCAACTCCAAGCCCCCATGTCACACACACACACACATACACACACACTCTCTCTCACACTCCACACATGGGCACACAAGGTTTGATAATTTTATTTAAATCTTAACAATTATCAATGGAACAATGGAGCCTTTACCTGTACAGGTGTGCTCCCTAGGGGTGGGGCCTCTAAACCACTCCCTTGTGTATATATTTAGAATGATCAGGCCCTCTTAGCAGGTATAAGAGGGTTATCCATATACAAAAAAATCAACCAAGGTAGAAACAGCTTAAACTATCCAAGGTACTAGGGATAGGGCTGTTGTTTTTTTTAACTTGTAGAATGTGATTGGTGAAAAAGAACTTATGAAATGCAACTGAATATGCTCTGTCTTGCAGAACATATTAATGGCTTTTGGCAGGGACTGTATATATGAATAGGATTGGGGAAAGTGGGTTTCAAGTCTGGGAGAAAATGTCTTTTCTCTCACTCAAATCCATTCACAGAGCATTCTGGGGCTCCCAGGAAATCTATTCATTGGGCCTTCAGTAGAAGTGAGGGGGTTAAGGGAAAAAACTAGGGAGGGAGTCAGGGACAAAGTTCTGAGAGCAGATGAGAAGAGGAATGCACTTTTCAGGGTCCAGAAAATACTAACCCTCTGTAGGAATTAAGCCAATAAGGATATACATTCAGGAAAATTACCTCAAAGAATAAGAAAAGCCAAGAAGAAGGCAATATGGTGTAATGGTCTTGAAAGTCAGAAGGCCTGAGTTTGGCTGACTCTGCAATTTACTGCCTGTGAGACTCCTGAAAAGTCACCCTCCTGGCTGGGACCTCTACTTACTCATCCGGCCTCTTATCTCAAGAGTCAGTGACATCAATAAAGTGATAGCACGAACTGTAAAGTGCTTTAGAAATGAAGGCCAGTATAGGTGAGAAAAAAATCAATAAAAACTTCAAAGTAACACACTCTTTGTGTTAGGTAGTTGTAATATCCAAATAGCCTGCCCCCATATAATCCTTAGCAAGTACAGTAGGCAAAGCTATATCTACAATATTCAAAACGGTAGGCCTCCTTTGTGGCAACTATGAAACAATGCATAGGGCAGGAACTGGAGGAAGCCAGTTCCTTTGAAGCCAAACCCCCAGCCCAGCAGGGAGGTGAGAGCAGGGAGGGAGGCAGCAATGAGTGGGCAGGTAGCCCCATGCCCCCAGTGTTACAGCCTTTGACGCCCCAGTACAGGGAAAGTGCCACAATGGCAGTGTCAAGGTCTTACAAAACTATCTTCCACTTCAAGAAGTTTCGTAACAAGTCATTTAAGGGACTTGTATATTACCTTTGTTGAAAGAATTACCTGAAAAAAAGTAAAAGGCATATTCCAGCGGTTTCCAACATTTAAAAATTGCAGATGTCAAAAAAACACAGGGAATTTCTGCATGGCACTAGCTATATTCCATTTCTATTGAGTAAGAAATTGAGTTCTCAAATACGGGTCTTCAAATTCCTTGTACACACCACTCTCTTCCATTGCCCTCCCAACCATGACCAGGGAGGGGTCTACAATCTCCCAATTACCATCTGTTAATATGGTCATAGGCAAACTGGGACAGAGCTCTAGAGATAGGTTCTACAGAAAAGAGAAGGGAGAGTGAGGGGGAGATTTACTCAATACACTACAGCCCCATTAGCGAATCTCGAAAGAATGAAGCTTCTTTACAAAGTCTGAGCAAAAAACACAAAAACCCTGAGTATTTCTCTGCTAAGCAAAGAAAAATATGGCTGGGCACAGTGGCTCATGCCTGTAATCCCAGCCCTTTGGGTATCCCAGGTGGGCAGGCTGATTGAGCTCTAGAGTTCAAGACAAGCCTGGGCAGCATGGTGAGACACCATCTCTACTAAAAATACAAAAAAAAATAACTGGGAGTGGTGATGTATGTCTGTGATCCCAGCTACTCATGAGGCTAAGGTGGAAGGATTGTCACTTAAGCCCGGGAGGTGGAGGCTGCAGTAAACCAAAATTGCACCACTGCACACCAGCCTGGGTAACAGAGCAAGACCCTATTGGAAAAAAGATTTAAAAAAAAAAGGAAAAAAAAAACCCACATTTGCTCTTTGGCTCCCTGTGCTGAGTTAAAAGCTAAACGAGGCTACTCTATAAAGTATATTATCCTTTCAAATTCTCCTTCTCTACTTGGATCGTGGCAACTCCTGTTTTTTCTTGGGAGCACCAAACTTCCTACTCTTTCTCCCTGCTTGGGAAGGATTAGATATTATTTAAACTTCCTGGCTGGCACTCGTTCATGTGGAAGTTTAACTGTTAAGGTGTCATACAGTAATGATGGATTGAGAACCCCTACGGCTTGCATGGTAAGCATAATGTATTCACGGAGAGGCCTAGGGAGAAAGACACAGACTGGAGCTGGTTATATAAGGTCACACATGAGATGAACAAGAGACATGGACAGAAGGACAGGAGACAGAGGGAGTGGACGGTTTTGTCTCAAGCTCTTTAGAATTATGGATACTGAAATGAATATATCTGTGGGGCTCAAACAATAAAAAACACGAAGGAACACTCAAAGCTTTTTCACATTTTACTACAGAGGTATTTGATAGATGTACTCATTATTAGTTAATATGTAAATTTGTAAACTGCTAATTTATATCCTACTAGTACAAAATCATTTTACAAAAACTCTTTCAAAACTAATAGATAATGTGTTCTCTGGTGTGTATCACTGGAAGGCGTACCTGGGCAGGTGCCTCCCCTGCAGGCTATCAGCCTCTGCCGCCGACACTCCGCCCTCCTGCTACCTCTTCATTCCCAAGTTCACTGCCTCTTTATTCGTCACCTTTTCTCCCCTCTTTTGTGGCCTTCTTCTCAACTGGGACCCACCATTTCACAGACGATCGTACAGGATAAATAATTAACACTATTATATCTTCGTACCTTTCTACCTTGGACGAGAACAACTCTGATTCTCTCAGACATTCAGCAGTCTTGTTACCTGTGACCTTTTATCCCATAATATATCATTTCAAATTTAAATACATCTCCTTCACGCAGAGTCCTCAAATAGTCTTCATTTTATCCTTTGAGTCATCCTTTTATATAAAGTCCTTCAAGTATCCATATTACAACATGTAACCCTCATGATCAAAACGACTAAGAAAGAAAGCTGTCTTGTTACAACTGTTTTACAGTCCATATCACCAGGAGCTCTGCTAAGAAAATACAAAAAGGAAAAATGCAGCCCAACAATGAGCTATAACAGGTTCTTAATCTGTGCTACTATTCAAAGTCTCTAGGCCAAAATTATTGCAACCAAAGAATCAGTTCTTCCAAACATCACCAAAAGATCCAGGGTCATACACCAGACCAGAAATCCACTGTGATGTTGACATATAAAGGATTGTATTCCACAGATAGTAATTTGTAAGAACAACTACTCAACCCATCTGTTCTCCAGACTCGTGACACTTGGTGTAAGAGCTTCATCCTAAAGATAAAAAGAACAAATGTGAATGATAAGAATTTAACGTATGTTTGCCCCAAAATGTGGCAAACATATTTTTGTGAATTATTAACCTGTTATGTTTCCTACTATTAAGAAGTATGTTTTCCCCATTGAAGGTGACAAACATGATAGCTAAGTATTCATGTGTCAGACTCCATGTGAGAACCCGGGGACCCATGATGAAAAGTGTCATGGCACTCAGTGAGCCCCCAGTCTACAGGACAGAAGGGTGTGCAAGGAACATAGATACAGTAAGATATGTGCCATCCACTGCTAACGGATCCTTGGCAGAGTTTCAGGGGATCTCTGAATCTTCCTGTGTTGTAGGGAAAGTTTGTGTCTGTAGGTGGGGAAGTACATAGCTTTCATGAGCCTCCAAAAAATTAGTATGTATGTAGATGAGGATGAATGAAGCCACACCTAACTTCATGAGGAAGTCTGGCGAGGGGGCAGAGAAGGTAAATTTCAGTAAGGCTAAAAGAGAGAAATTCACCAAGTGAAGAAGGTGAAGGAAAGAGCACTTCAGGCAGAGAGACCACCCTGGGCAAGACGCACAGACACACAGAAGAGCAGGATGCACTTGAAGAAGTCATTAGTGTAGCCAGAGCCATCTGGGAAGATGGGAAGATGAGTGGGCGGTGAACTGAATAGGTTCTACTTGCTCGGCAGTGAAAACAATAAATGCTGGTTACCCATAACGATATGGATGGAGATCAGACACATAATGTTAAGCTAAATAAAGTCAGAAAACAAAATGTAGTGTGATTTCATTTACATAAATTTGAAAACCATGCAGAACTAAGCAATCTTTTGTTTAGGGATACAAACACATGGGGGGGAAAAAACAAGAAACAGCAGAAATAACTATCATTATCACAAATACTTATCACAAAAATTCAGAGAAGTGTTACTTGGGTAGGTGGATGGGGGAGAAGCGAAGGGGGAGCCTATGGGATTAGGGAGGACCACACAGGTCATGCACACAAAGTGGTGGTGGAAGATACCAGCGGTGTTCATGGCATCAAGAATCTTCAGACTTTTCATACAATGTAGGAGTACTCTTTTGCATCTACTCAATAATTTTTTTTAATATAAAGAGAAAAATGCACACCTATGGACAATGACTAGAACACAGAAAATAGAAATAGCTATTTTGTTGGAGTGGTTGACTCTACCAAAAGGGTTAAAACCCATTTAATAATGCTTTAAAATATAAACTTTAGGCCAAGCATGGTGGCTCATGCTGTAATTCTAGCACTTCAGGAGGCTGAGAAAGGAAGATTGCTTGCGCCCAGGAGTTTGAGACCAGCCTTTGGTAACACAGGAAGACCTTGTGTTTACAAAAATTTTTTTTTAAATTAGCTGAGCATGGTGACACATGCCTGTGGTCCCAGCTACTTGGGAGGCTGAGCCAGGAGGATTGCTTGAGCCTAGGAGATCGAGGCTGCAGAGAACATGCTCAAGCCACTGCACTCCAGCTTGGACGACAGACTGAGACTCTGCCTCAGCAAAAATAAATAAATAAATAAACTTTAACAGGGCTCTCTAATCTCAGTGTAAAAGCACTTCAATACTGTTTTTAAATGTAGACTATAACAAAAGCACTAAAAGCCCCTTAATACTGTTTTAAAATTTAAGGGGAAAAATCAGAACAAAGAAATACAGATTCTTCAATCAAAGCCACATAAAGAACTGGCTTATCTGCCAAGATTCCTCAGTGAACAGGCCAATTCCCAAGGCAGGAAAAGTACATGATGAGCCCAGAACATCTCATCACACCAGAGCACAGGGAGGGAAGCTCTCAAGGACTACTGTGGTTGTGTCAAAAGGATCCAGGACCCAGCTTGAAGAAGACCCCATGGGCCAAAGATGAGACAATATGAGTACCAAAAAGTACATGAACTACATCCTGAAGGATGCTAGAAAACACCAAGTCTTTAGGCTGAAAAATGTTTAATTAGTGCTTTCTCTTTATTCTGCTTTTCCTATAGAAACTATACCCCAGAGTATTCAAACAAATGAAAAGGAAAAGTACTTTGTAGAAAAATCTAATAAATACAAAAGGAATGATATAATTAGAATATTACAATGTTGCAACCCCTAATTAAATAATAAATCTAGAAATCAAGCATCAATGACTGCTGAAGTCATTAGGTGAAAAACTGATGGGGAATCTCACAATGCATAGATAAGACTGGCAATATCTAAACTCACAGGTCAATCCTAACACCACAAAATGATACAACCAGACATTACATCCTGCTGTTGTGACACTAGAAGAAGTGCACAACACCATAGATGAAAATTCCTGCCCCAAAACAGTTTTCAGATTCTGTTCAAGTCTTCAGAAACGCAGAGAAATCCCAGTGTGATGGTTAATATTGAGTGTCAACTTGATTAGATTGAAGGATGCAAAGTATTGTTCCTGGGTGTGTCTTTGAGGGTGTTGCCAAAGGAGATTAACACTGGAGTCAGTGGACTGGGAGAGGCAGACCCACCCTCCATGTGGGTGGCACTATCTAATCAACTGCTAGCGTGGCTAGAATAAAGCAGGCAGAAGAAGGTGGGAGAAGCTGACTTGCTGCATCTTCTGGCCTTCATCTTTCTCCTGGGCTTCCTATCCCTGAACATCAAACTCCAAGTTCTTCAGCTTGGACTCTTGGACTTACATCAGTGGTGGGCCAGGGGCTCTCAGGCCTTTGGCCACAGACTGAAGGCTGCACTATCGGCTTCCCTACTTTTGACGTTTTGGGACTCGGACTGGTTTCCTTGCTCCTCAGCTTGCAGATGACCTATTGCAGAACTTCACCTTGAGATGGTGTGAGTCAATACTCCTTAATAAACTCCCCTTCGTATATCCATCTATCCTATTAGTTCTGTCCCCCTTGAGAACTCTAATACACCTAGTTTATGAGAAAATACAGAGGTCGGGGGACATGTTAAGTTATACTACCAGCATGCAATTGGAAAAATCCATAATGCAGGAATTCTATTGGACAAATAATCTGGCTTGTTCCATAAATAAACATCAAGGAAAACGTAAAGAAGGGGAGAGGGAACCTACAGATTAAAAGAGATCATTCAAATGCAATGTGGACCTTGTTTGGACACTGATCTGACCAACTGATTTTAAAAATAAAAAAGCACTTAACACTGAGTGGACATTTGATGTCATTAAGGAGATATTGTTAATTTTATTTTAGGTATTATAATGGTATTGTGATTCCTTTTTTAAAGCCAATTATATTTTAAGAATACATACTGAAGTAGTTACACATGAAATGCTATGACGGCTGTGACACGTTTCTAAATCCAATGGGGTAAGAAAAAAAGTGAGGGAAAGAGAGGCCATGAGTTAAGAACCCAGCTCACCACTTTCTCTCCTTTTGTGTCTGTTTCAAAATTTCTTTAATAAAAATCACTTAAGAAAGTGAACTATCTCAAATCTGATCAAATTCAACATAGTCCGTATTGACAGCCTAGGGAGGCAGCCTGCCAGGCAAGTGAAGCCAGGACTTACCGTTCTCCATTCACCTCATTGCCTCTGTCCCTAGTGTGGAAGATCATTGTATATTTACCCACTTCAGGTAGGGGCCGGGATATTTTCATTCTATGGAGTTCAACCCTAGAAAAATAATAGAGATTTTTATTTTAAGTCCATCCTATTTATCTACACTAGGCAAATAAAGAGCATCATTTGCAAAAATTTACACACACACACACACAGTGTCACAAACATTTCAATTTCTTATAATGGTAGAACTTTAGGCGATAAGCCCAAAAAAGAATCAGATTTATCATTTATTACTGGGGCACAAAGGAGATGTGTTAATTTTTACTTAGTCATTTTCAAAAAGAAAAAAAAAACTGATAAAGTACTTATTTGTTTTGTTGTTGTTGTTGTTGTTGTTGTTGTTTTTGAAATGGAGTTTTGCTCTGTCACCCAGGCTGGAGTGCAGTGGCACAATCTTGGCTCACTGCAACCTCCGCCTCTTGGGTTCAAGAGATTCTCCTGCCTCAGCCTCTTGAGCAGCTGGGACCATAGGCACATGCCACCATGCCCAGTTGATTTTCGTATTTTTAGTAGAGATGGGTTTTTACCATATTGGCCGGGCTAGTCTCAAACTCCTGACCTCGTGATCCACCCGCCTCAGCCTCCCAAAGTGCTGGGATTATAGGCGTGAGCCACCACGCTCAGCTAATGTACTTATTTCAAAACATCCCAAAGAATAGAAGAATCAAGTCTGTTAGGATAACCAATTTACTTAGAGTTGCCTTCTTTCAACAAAGAAAGGAATGGTCATTTATAGTCACAAGCTTTAAAGCCACAAGCCCAGGTTCAAATCTAGACTCTGTTATTTACAACCTCAGTAAGTCAGTTCACTCTTCCAGGTCTGTTTTCTCATCTGTAAAATGGCAATGGTAATAGGGAGTTGATTTCAAAGATTCAAATGATATAATCTGCATGGAACATGCTTGTACTCTGTAATGTATTATGTAAGTACAAAGAAGGGTAGTGCCTGTTGCACAGGTGAATAAATAAGCAGTAAATCTCAACCAACTTTCATGTTGAAATCATCTGACTTTATCCACCACATTAGTTGAAAACCATTCTGAAGACCATGATGGTCTTTTCAAATGAAAGCAAAATTTGAGGCTCCCCTCTACTTTGAAGCTGAAGGGTGGCAGGAAAGAAGACAGTGAAGACATGTGATCAGGGCAAAATTCTACTAATCATCTTAGTAAAGGAGATCTGTGGAAGATAATGGGGATTGTTTATCACTAGCCTTCGCTACTCTTGTCCTGAAACATAGCAGGTACCCTTTGTCCAGTTCCTAAGCTATGGCCACACAGGTTGCCGATGGGCTGGGCTGTCAAGAGCTGTTGCCCATCACTACGGCCATTTCTGTAGAGCCCCTGGCCAGGGAAATCTACTCCCTCCTGCTAGAAACATTCAGAGGCTCTCAGCCTAGACATGAGAACAAGACCAGCATGGAGCCCCTGGGTTCCTTAAGATGAAGCAATAAAAAAATTTCTGACAGTCACATATCTAATCGTTCAGAACCCCAGGTTAGAAATTTCCTTTCCAGCCAGGCACAGTGGCTCACGCCTATAATCTCAACACTTTAGGAGACCAAGGCAGGTGGATCACCTGAGGTCAGGAGTTCGAGACCAGCCTGGCCATTATGGTGAAACCCGGCCTTTACTAAAAATACAAAAAAAATTAGCCAGATGCCACAGCACACATCTGTAGTCCCAGTTATTCGGGAGGCTGAGAGTGAAGAATCACTTGAACCTGGGAGGCAGAGGTTGCAGTGAGCTGAGATAGTGCCACTGCACTCCAGCCTGGGTGACAGGGAAAGACTCTGTCTCAAAAGAAAAAAAAAAAACAACAACAACAAAGAAATTTATTTTCTAAGAGGCAACAGCAGAAGGGAAGGGGTCTCCTTGATACCCAGAAGGGCCTTGTGATTCCAAGTCTAAAGATACCACCCAAGTTCTTGAATAATTACTTATTTCTAGGAGTTCGGGATATCTATAACTATCTGGCCCCCAAATCCAAGTTCAGTGGAAGAAGCTGTGGATGGAGGCCAGATTTATTCGCTTTCAGCCCCTCAGAAGAGAGAGTAGTCCAAGAAAAACTAGGGCAATGCCAACAGCCCAGAGTCGGGCCTGGGGTCAGGCCACCTGCCCACAGGCCAGAAGTAAAATGCCACTGGCATGGAACAATGTGGGCCATCCTGCCCTCCCTCCACCCCTCCACTCTTCTAACCCAAATCTGCAGCCTAGTGACCTGCTGGACTGGCATCTAAAGGGATAAATATAAATGCAGGTTTCCAGAGCCACACTGATCACAGAGCCCCGTGAAGGGGACCTTTTTCTGTTGTTCACCTGAGTCTGAGGTCATCGTCTTCGCCTCCCCATCCCCAGTAGTTGTTAGAGAATCCATTCACCTTGAAAAACTGCTCTCTGCTTAGGGCAGTAACACCCCCAAAATATCCACTGTAACGTAACCTGGAGCAAAAGAGAAGACAGAAATGGTAAGAATATTAGTACCAAAGGTCTCTAATTTCAGGGCTGGCATTCTAGGAACCCCTGGGAGACAATGCGCTTCCACCCACCAACTCCTGCTTCTCTTGCACCTCCCAGTGCTCCTGTCCTGCCCTATCTTCTTTCCTCTATCTAAACAAACACTCACCTCTGCTCAGCAAGCGAGGGGCCGCCTCGCTCATGACTGTTAGTGGTGATGTTTGTATATAAAGGCCTACAGAAATACCTGTCAATGTGAACTACCCCATCAGATACTGATAACAGATTACTTCTCGTGATCAGTCCAGTGAACAGTAACAGCTACCAAGAGCACTGGGTTAACAAGGATTCTGAGGCTGCATTCGGATTCAGCATGAATGCATGTCATGATGAATATACCTTCTTTTTTTCATTTTCACTTTTGCAAGGGAGGGTTGAAGGCAGGAGACAGCTCCTGCACACACACTGCATGCACACACTCTGTATGCAAATCTCTACTTCTCGGCATGCATCTCCAGCTCCGAATCTGTTTCCTGGATAACCCAACACACGTCAGCACCTAGAGTATAGGTGTCTGGCAACTAGAGTATAGGTGTGCTGTTTGTGAAAATGGGCTGTAAGGAACAATAATTAGGTTTTGAAAGAAAAGAAAGTGAATTATGCTTTAGATAAGCTGAACTTTAGATATACCTGGGGCTTTGCCACTACACAAATAAAATACAGGGTCCAAGCTCACAAGAGAGGAGTGATGACAGATACAGCTCTGGGAATAAGCTGTTATCACGTAGTACCTGAAGGCACAAGTGGAGAAATCCCCAACAATCTAGTTGGTGAGAAGAGAACAAAGGGTAGACCCAAGGGGCTCAGCTCTGTGGAACCCTGGGAATACCAAAGAGAAAAAGAGTCAGAGAAAAAAGATCAGGAGGTAAAAGTCAGAGTACCTCCCAGCCTCCCAGTTATATAGGACTCTTATTATCAGTGGACAAATTTGTAAATCTGAGAAATAAAGGCATCCCTTAAATACAACATCTCAACAATTCAGAAATGCAAGTTAAGGTAGCTTAATAACTTGGATATTACTAAATTAAAAGATGTGAATATCTGGAGAATTTTTAACTTTAACTTCAGGTCAGACTGTTCCAGGACTGACGAAATATTTATGGTTTTCCAGATAAAAAGAAAAACCAAAAGGAAAGATCAATAAACATGTAGACACTTGCCATCCAACAAGTGGCATCCCAAAAGCTAATTTGTAGTTCAGTTGTTTCCATGTTCTGAGAAAAGACTGGGGATTCTGTTTAACCTATAACAGAAACAGATTTACGTATATGCCCCCAACTTAAAATACTGGTAAAAGGTATTTCTGCAACCTGCAATAAAACAAACAAAAGGAAATAACATGCTTAGAAGGTAACATCACTGACCCCAAGACATCTATTAGCAGTATCTCATTACCATGGTTATCGGAATGTGTTTCACAGAGGCGAGGGATTCTTAGCTGCCTGAACACCAGCTGCCTTATCAAGATGTGGTGACAAGGCAGGCACAACCTGCTGACACCAACAGGCAATCAGCATGAGAACTGGAAGACAATGTGGTAGTGCTTATCATGACCGCCACCCACCACAGGCAAGACAGCCGGCTAAACACATGGATGCGGAAGCCCTGCCCTCAGAGTTTATAACCTAACAAGAGAGGTGAGCATTATCAGGGTTCTGAAGAGAGAGGTGTTGCCACATCAGGAGGAGGGAACCTGGAAGGATTCAAATAGGCAGAAAAATGGGGGATCTCCTGGTGACCAGAACTCCGTGAGGCAAAGCACAGGAGAGTGAAAAGCACAGGCTGCCCAAGGACTGCCTGGAGATGGGTGAGCAGGAGTGGGCAGGAGCAGAAGAAGACAAGTCAGCAAGAAGAGTTAAAGAACTGTTTCTCCACACCTGTAATCCCAGCACTTTGGGAGGCCGAGGCGGGCAGATCACAAGGTCAGGAGATCCAGACCATCCTGGCCAACACAATGAAATCCCGTTTCTACTAAAAATACAAAAAACTAGCCAGGCGTGGGGACACACCCCTGTAGTCCCAGCTACCTGGGAGGCTGAGGCAGAAGAATCACTTGAACCTGGGAGGTAGAGGTTACAGTGGGCCAAGATCTCACCACAGCACTCCAGCCTGGGCAACAGAGCAAGACTCCGTCTCAAAAAAAAAAAAAAAAACCGTTTCTTGTGTGCCTGTGAGATGGCAACTATCTGTTTATTGATCTTTGCTTTTGTTTTTTCTTCTTATTTGTAAAAGCATACATATTTAATTGGCCCTGGAATGGTTTACTTATTTGTAAAGGGCTGTAAGGCCCAAAGGTGGGGAAAACGTAGTCATAAAATAACAATAGAATCCTTGTAGGAGAAGGCAGGTATCAAAGGAGTTCTTGCCAGTAAAATTTACCACCGGCTGGTCCAGAGCTTTATCACTGACCCACAGGCAGTGAGAAACAAGATTTGTTTCTGGCTTCAGCAGAGTCTGAGACAGTTGGGGCAACTTTAACTTCTTCCCTCTGCATGTAAGGTGAAAACCTTTCTTGCACATGTACTCATGGAGCTGGTGTGACAGTGATGAGGCATGTGCTGACTTAAGCTCTGTGGCACTGTCGCACACAGTTGCCAGCAGGGGGCAGACACTCAGCTGCCTGGAAATGAACTCGACCGCCACAGGGTCTTTGCCCAAAGCAACAAAAGCAAGTAGTCCAGAAGGAGGGTAACTCCTACCTACGTTACTTATACACACCACTCTCCAGACACAAAAGATGAGGTTGCTTACATGATACACACAAAAAAGAGAAAAACATAAGTAACGAACCAGGACCCTAGAAACATTTAAATCACATGGAAAATTAAGATGGGAAATACATTAGAACTCTGATCTGCAAATAAGATTCTTTTCCGTTTCTAAAAGAGCGCCATGGATTTGGCTCAGAGCCTCTTGATCAAAAGGGGAAACACATCCAATTACTGAATCATATTAAAAAAACCTGTCAGTTACTCAACAAAGGCTTTCTGATACCTAGTTATAAAAGAAACATCCGGCCAGTTAGAATGGCAAGTTAAAAACAGCAAGATTCATACGTGCGCCATTTCTCAGAGTGAGGAACATTTGATGAAATCCACAATTGTGACACCAAAGCATGAGTGAAAATCAATTCCCGGCAGGAATGTCCAAGAGCTCAGCCTTCTTATGGGTCAGCCTAATACAAAGGTAAAATCTAGAATCCCAGCAAAAAAAAATCTGTACGTAAGCAATCCTCTGTGATTGCTTAGAAATCAACTGGGCAACCAGGTGCTTACAAAAATCTGGACAATGGAAAGTTTAAGATTATCATCTACGGCAAGTGTCTAAAATACAGGTGTTCTGTGTTGTAAATAGTGACACCTTACTACAGAATAAGTGAACAGATAGTGACACACTTTTGAGAAAATCAAGTTGCCCAGCCATGATACACTGCTTTCCTCAATGCAGAAGTGACTCAAAGAAACCAGAAAACAAAACCTCTAGATAATAAGATTAAATCCAAGGATCAAGTTTCCCCAAAGAGAAAAATCCTGGGATTCTCCCCTCGCCCTCTGCATCCACAGCCCCTGCCCTAACTCAGACATGTGGCATCTCTCCATTCAGCTTTTCCCGTCTTCCCTTGCTCCATCCAATATAGCCAAGATCAGCTGAACTAAGTTTCCTCCTGTCCTTCCCCCGCTGTAACATGTGCCAACAGCTCGCCAACCCCTGCCACAGCAAATCCAAACTCCTTATTGAACTAAACAAGACCTGTGTAATCTGGCCCCTGCCTAGCCTCAGTTCTTGCCTCTCCTCGCAGACATTCCTTCTAGAATGCCAGTGAACTACCTGCATATTCCCCAAAACTGTGCCATGCTCTCTGGCATGTCTTGGAACTCTGCTAAGAAGCTCTTGTTGGTTCCACAGGATTAAGGTACCACCCTCCCTGGGGAACAGCTTTAAATCCTTACCTTTAAGGTGTTCTTAATGACACTGTGCTCTCACCCACCAGTAGTTTGTTTATGTCCTGCAGCTTACATAGGAATTGGGTTTTAAGTCAGTACCTGAGGCAAGAGTCACCTATATCGATGTTACTCAAGAATTCTCTTAAATACAATGCTTAAGTGATATATGTATCACTTAATAGGACCATTTTTCCTATTTCTCATTTTCTTAAGATACTCTGAATGCTTTTTCTACCCAGTCCTGATCACAACAGTTGAGCTTCTCAACCTAAGCCATCCTCAGCAGAGCCACCTTACCTGTACCCAGTGCTGTTCCTGCCAACCACCAGATGCTTGGGATTGTCCTCACACTTGTAAAGGTTGAAGTCATTCTCGGGTACCAGGTCCACATCATGGAATATAAAGCAGTCCCAGTTTTCTTCCTTGAGAGCTTCTAGATAGCCCACATTCAAGAGTTTGGCTCGATTAAACTTTTTACCTCCAGCCTAGAGATACAAAAATTAAAACTTGAGAAGCTCCTGAGATAAAATTTCATAGTGTTCTCCTCTGAGTTAGGATTCAGGAGGTGGTATTATTCTTGCTAACACACAAGACTATACTTGTGACATAAACATCTAACAGGGAAGATGCAATGACAATAAAAGACCATTTGGTTTTTTCTTTATGCTTCACACATACTTATATTCTAGAACTAAGAAATACTAATTGAAATCTGAAGAATTGTTGTTTAATGGTAGAGAGTTCCAGTTTTGCAAGATTAAGTTCTGGAGACTGATTTCATAAATACACTGCATATATTTATGCAACCAATATATTGCATAATTATGCACAGATACAATGCATGGAAATATTCTTAACATCACTAAACTGTACACTCAATGGTTAAGACAGTAAGAGTAAATAAAAGTTTAAAAAAGTCTAAAAGGGTAAATTTTATGTCGTGTGTTTTACCACAACTTAAAATTTTCTAAACACAGCTTTAAAATACAAATAACTCAAATAATCAATAATAATGTATTGTACACTTAAAATGTGTTAAGAGTATAAATCTTAAGTATTCTTACCACAGTTACAAAAAACAATTTTACTTAAAATTTTATTTTATTTTTTATTTATTTTTTTTGAGATGGAGTTTTGCTCTTGTTACCCAGGCTGGGGTGCAATGGCGTGATCTCGGCTCACCACAACCTCTGCCTCCTGGGTTCAGGCAATTCTCCTGAATTAAAAAAAAAATTTAGTTGGATGTGGTGGCACATGCCTGTAGGCCCAGCTACTCAGGAGGCAGGAGATTCGCTTGAACCCAGGAGGTAGAGGCTGCATGAGCCAAGATCACACCACTGTGCGATCTTGAGTAGCTGGGATTACAGGCACGTGCTACCATGAGTAGCTGGGGTTACAGGCACGTGCTACCATGCCCAGCTAATTTTTTGTATTTTTAGTAGAGACGCGGTTTCACCATGTTGACCAGGATGGTCTCGATCTCTTGACCTCGTGATCCACCCGCCTTGGCCTCCCAAAGTGCTGGGACTACAGGTGTGAGCCACCACGCCTGGCTCACTTAAAATTTTAGAAACACTTTTATTTATTCCATATAAAACTACAAAACCCTTCTTATATACTAGTCATGTCAATTAGCATTACTGCTTCACAGTAACCCTAGGTTAATCCCAATCTTATCCTCTGTTATGAATTTACACTAAGCTTCTAAGAGACTTAGTTAATAGCTTGCCAGAAAGGATAAAAAAATCTTGACCTATAAAAAGAAAAGGTTATTGCTAATATTTCTAAGCTACTTTAAAATTTCTTAGAAATCCCTGTAAGAGAATCCTGTTTTAATGCTAATGGTGGAGGCTAATCCTCACAGTGGCCTTATGGAGACAGATCTGTCACTGGGTAATAAAAGAACGCAGTTCGACCTATAATATGATTGAAGCTGTAATAAAATAATTTACACTTTTTTTTTTATGGCTGCTTTGTTCAAACTCCTTCAGAATGAATTCCAGTTAAGTGGTTCATCATGAAAGTACAGGCATTTCTCAGAAGTTACCACAATGTCTTCCTAAAAAGAATAACATAAAGCAGATATATTTTTCCCTTTTCCTTTTCTTTTTAAATTTGAGATGGAATCTCACCCTGTTGCCCAGGCTAGACTGCACTGGTGTGATCTTGGCTCATGTAGCCTCTACCTCCTGGGTTCAAGCGAATCTCCTGCCTCCTGAGTAGCTGGGCCTACAGGCATGTGCCACCACATCCAACTAAATTTTTTTTTTGTATTTTTAATAGAGATGGGGTTTCACCATGCTGGCCAGGCTGGTCTTGAACTCCTGACCTCAAGTGATCCACCAGCCTTGGCCTCCCAGGTGTTGGGATTACAGGCTTGAGCCATTGCGCTCAGCTCAAGGCAGACATGTTTTTCTATTCAAAAAACTAGTACTATACCTTGTGAGTTACTGTCCTGAGTAAGAACTCAGAATCAAATAAATCATACCTATAACCAACAACCTTAAAAACAAAAATAGCTTCAAAACAATATAATAGTAACATTTTGTTCCAAGTGCTAAAATTCAGACATAGGTGTACTATATAAGCACACTGATTTCCAAGAGCCCCAGTTTATCACCAAGTCTATACTGCAGAGCTGGTCCTCTAAGATATCCAAAGTTCTACCTAAACAAATATTACCAGTTCTAACAGTAGTCATGATTCTGCTGACATACTTAGAATTTGTAAGAATTTGAGGGGGAATTATTTGAATGGCCCAAGATAATTGTGGCAAACTTAGACACTGATGTTTAAACTGATGTCTTAGTTTTCTTTCAATAAACGTTAGTGCCAGATAGAGGTACCTTTAATCACCCACTCCACTCACCTCTAAGGTAAGCTCTTCAAAAGCAGCCTATCGTTATACTGTGCTCCTCCTACCAAATCATGCTTCTGGAAGCCAAATAAGTGAATCCAGAAAGTGAAAATCAAACATAACATGTTTCACATAATAAATAGTGGCAAAGTTCAGGGCAGAAATATGGGGGCAGCCATAGAGCACCATAGCTACTAATACAGAATATTCAGTCAAATACTCTGTCTACATCCCCATTGAGTAGCTATGGGCGATAATGACAGACAATTCCAGAATCTCATCATGTTGTGCACCACAAGCACAGAAAGAAACACAAGGGACCAGGAAGCCTCAGGGAAATCTGAAGGCAGTCACTGCCTAACATGGAAGGGCTCACAAAACAGGCTTCCTCCAGAGGTTCCTTTAAGGGCAGTAAAATTTCCCAGAACTGGAACCCATAACTCCACACTCTGAAACAAGAATTTCCTCTACTCCTTTCAAGTATAAATGAGGTTGTTCCTTTTATCCAAGATAGATAAACAGTCACATGGCCACATTCAGCAGCGAGAGGAGGGTCGAGGTCAGGCCCTGGTCTGCCCCCATGCTCACCTGGTGGATGACGTAGATGCCATAATCTAGCTGCTGCCTCTGCAGGAAGGGATGCAAATGTTCCAGCAGGTACATCAGGTGTTTCTCTCTGTTCCGGTGGGGAACAAGGATGGCAACCCTCTGTAAAGCTTTACATTCCTCAGGGCAATACCGGCCTCTGGACACTTGGGGATTTTCTGCCTGTACCTCTTCCAAAGTAAGATCTGGTTTGAAAATGAGCTTGCTCTGGCCTCCTACAATGAACAAAGGACACACACAATAGCAGTAGCTACTTCAAAAAGTGTTGAGGTTTACACAAGCTAATATGCACAGATTATCCCCCAGCTCACAGTGGGCACTACAAATGTCAGCTTTTATTATGATTACTGTAAAGGCTCATTTAGTCATGATGATAGCCAGAGGATCATGTGACTAAGGTTACTGGCTGCAAAAGCAAGTGGCGGATATATAATATGAGCATTTCCCTGTGGCTGGGTAATCAAAAGTCCTCTATGATTCATCTGTAAGAAGGATATATAGACTGTCCTGGTGAACCCTGGTAAGAGCAAAGGTCAGAGCTAGACAGAGCAACTCTTCAAATTTGCTCTATCCTCTTTTCCTTCTCCAAATTCCAGGAGGAGGGGAAAACCTCTTAAATATCAACAGCATTCCACAGAATCAAGCTCCTGGACAAGGCAGTCCTCCCACTCCTTCCCTAAACTCTGGAACCATCCTGACTCCCTGTAGGTAAAGCACTAAAAAGAAGTGGAAACCAGTCTCACTCCCTAACCCAGCTGTAACAGGTACTTGTGGCCCTGCAACAACTCTCCCATTTTGCCACCACAACAGACATTTCCAATCGAGCACAGCATTTGCTCAGTGTGTCTGGAAGCAATCCAACCAGACAAACCCCAAAGCTATCCACAGGAGGAAACAGCTCAGATTGGTTTTGGTTTTTGTTTTCTAAATTGCAGATATACTGGTCAGACTGTAAAAATCTCAAGATGTTTGCAAGGTGCACCATTCCCTTCTGAGCAAAGCAGTCATATGCCCTTCCTGTGCATAATTCATTGCACATAATTTGCCATGCTTTGTTCAATGTGACCATCCCCTAACCTGGCCATGGCTGCTCAGATCAGGCTCACATGTCTAAGGACACCTTGGTGCTCTGCCCAACAGGAGGCAAGGTTAGCAACTTCTTCAAGCCACCCAAAGAGAATAATTGACCTAAGAGAGCCTTCCTGCAGGGTCTGCATGCAAGACACAACAATCAGTAATGCCCTAAAAACCAGCAGTAAGGAATGGAGATACACAGAAGACAACTGTGAGAGCTGATGCTGGGCTACTGAGCTACTAGAAATAATGGGGTAGCTGTTGAGATGGTCTCCTGTGTGGCCTGTTCATAATGCCCATCATTAACCTGACTGCGTCTCTGTACTTGCACCCTGAAAGAGCCTCATGCAACAGGTCTGATATAAACTAGTCTCCTGGCTCACCTTCTCATCGTCATAATTTTTTACGTGCCCTAACCTAGTTTCTGCTTCTATCAAGTCTCCCTACCCCTCCCTCTATCCCAACATCTTCTCAAGTTCTGCCCCTCCTTGGGTCACTAATGGCCCATTTTAAGTCATCACCATCCACGTCACCTTTAGTCCAGTATTTGCCCAGTAATGAGTCACTGCCCATCTATTATTTATGAGGGAATGTACTGTTTAAATATATTGTGAACATTTTAAGCAAGGGGAATAATCAGCCATATTTGCATTTTACTGACTCATTTTCATATCTCAACTTGTATAATGTATCAAGGAACACACAATCAGGAATAACATTTTGGCTTTTCTGTAACTGACTAAAGAGAAGTAGCATGCCAATATGAATACAGTACAGGACTGTGACTCAACTAGGAAAGGGGTGTGCAGACTAAAGGCTTGTGTCCCCCCAAAAATTCATATGTTGAATCCCTAATCCCCACTGTGGGACCTTTGGGAAGTAACTAGGTTTAGATGAGTTCATCACAGGGGTGGAGCTGCCATGTGGGATTAAAGCCCTTATAAAAAGAGCAAGAGGAATGAGATCTATCTATCTCTGTCTTTCTCTCTCCTTCTCTTTCCCTTTCCTTCTCAGTGTGTGTGTGAGGGCACACACACCAGGGAAATGCCATGTGAGGACATACCAGTAAGAGGGGCTTCATCAAGAAACTGACCGCTCTGGCACCTTGATCTTAGACTAATTTACTGTTTTAAGTTGAGAGGCAAGACACAAAAGGTGAATCAAAATATACAACATATTTAAGAAATAAACACCAACGACCACATCGAAAAACTTACTTAGTTTCTGTCCCTTGACTCCATAGTTTTGGCCAAAGGAATATAACAGGTGTGACCCCAGTGGAGGCTAGAATATGCTTGCATTTCTCCTCTCAAGCTCTTGTGCTCTGCTGATACAGGCTAGCCCACTAGTTTCAAGAGGAGGACAAGAGACACATGGGGTGGGGCCACCAGCCTAGATCACTGGACCTTGTTAATAATGTCTGCTGCTGAGATTTTTGTGGCTGGATAGTAAAAGTGGGTCTGTTCATATGATGGACTACCATACGTCAATGAAAATGGACAAACCATAGCCACATGCAACCATGAGAACAGATCTCACAAAAATAATGTTGAGCAACAGAAGCCAAACACAAGAGTATATAACATACGCTTCCAACCTCTAAGATTCTATAACAGGAAAAATCTAATGTGTAGAGTTAGAATCTTGAAGCCAAAGTGGTGACTGAGAGAAGTATGGGAATTCCTATGGTTCCAGCAAGATACCATTTCTTGTTTTCTTTCTTTTTTTTTTCTCTTCTGTGCTACATGAAGCATTTGCAACTTCTTTTCATATACTTTAAATTCTGGGGTACATCTGCAGAATGTTCAGGTTTGTTACATAGGTATACACGTGCCATGGTGGTTTGCTGCATCCATTGCCCCGTCATCTACATTAAATTTACATGCTAGACAACTATGTTCATTTTCTGAAACAACTATGTTCATTTTCTTAACCAAGCAGTATACTTCTGAGTTCTGTACTTTCTTGTACATGTAACATTTATTTTATTTGAATTTATAGTTTCTGTGACACAGGAGATGTGTACATTTACGGGGTGCATGAGATGTTTTGATACAGGCAAGTATATGTTATATTTAAATAAAAACTTTACATACTACTTACATAAAAGAAAAAAGGGAACACTTACTGAGGTAAGGAGACACAGAAGGGCAGTTGTCAAGTTCTGCCTTCCTCGTGGATGCTTCATTAGTCGGGGTTTTTCCCTTCCCCAAAATGATGGCCTTATGGAAATTAGCCATGAACTTCTTTGCTTTAGGAATCTCTTGAATGGCACCCACAAAGTAGTTACTGGTGGCCCACCCAACCACTGTCAGGCACAAAGTCAAAAGCAGCAGTAATCGGAATTTGTAGGAAAGGTGGAAAGTCAGGTTGAAGCCCATGTTTTTTATTATGTGAATAATATGTATCTCTCTGCTTCACTGCAGGCAAGAAAGCTTCAAGTTGAACTTTTCCAATCTGATTGCAAACTTGATGACAACTGAAAATACAATGCCTGCTTTTGCTCGTAGTTCTGCTCCAACAATCTAAAAGACAATCACAAAAGACATGTTGTTTCAAATGGAAATTCGATCCTGAAATAATTCACTTCGGCACAAACTGAAAACTCATACCCAATGGACCTTGACTAACCGTAACGGTAGATCCCACTAAGGGTTTAGAGATCGGAAAACCAGAGGTTTTAGAGGTTCCAAGCATCAATACATCACAGAAGCTCTCTCTAGGTTATTGGCCAGGCTGTCTGTCACCCAAGACGGGAAGCCATTTCCAGATGTTGGACAGAACAAATAGGCAAGGGAGACTGCAAATGCCCTGAGATGTTAGCTGGGCACAGCCTAAGACACAGCCCTAATAGTTCTCTGCCTCAGTTGCCCCTTCCTGGCACAGCTTTAAGGGAGGATTTTTAAAATGTGAAACCTTGTTACAGAAGCACATTTTGACCCAAAGAGAAAATAAGGGAAAAGTTCTTCTACCCTGTGAGAGCTAGAAAAGCATGGTCCTCGACAACAGGGAATGAGGGCTGTATTAACCAAGAGGCCCTGGCACAGGTGGGCAGGAGGAAGTCTGTCAAGAAACACAAGAGAATCCCTAAACAGAAGGTTAACAGAAGGTCAACTATCTATCTATAAGAAGAACAGAACTACTGCTCAGTGTTTAAGATCAGGAGTTTGGATTTAGACAGAAACTACAGCTCTACCACATAAGAGCTACGTAACCTTGGGCCAGTCATTTAAGCCTCATTTTTCTTATCTGTAAAATGGGGATAAAATTAGTATATACCTAGAAAAGTTATTGCGGGGCTTATTAATTTATTACTATACAAACAGTTATCCCACCTTGACAGACAAGCAAACACACTGAAACACCACTATTTGTACTGATCAATTGCCACTCTGATTTCATACTTCAATGACATGAGATGGGATAATATGAATTTACTTCTAAGAGGTGGCTATGCTCTTAATTACTGACAAAAATCATGTTAAGACCACCCAGCTGAGGGTCAACCCTGGACCATGGAAAATACACTAAAGTGATGAGTGCTACTTGACAAGGATCCTGGGTGGCTGCCAGCAACACCTGCTACATCCTCTCCATGTGGCCAAAAACACCTCTCTCCTCTAATTCTAAACATGTTCGCAGAAGAACACAGAAAATGCTAAAGCCAGGGCACAGATAATCTACAAAGACAAGCATATTCTCAATTAAACAAATAAAATGGAGACCAAAATATCTTCTATGCTAAATAATCACAAGGAAACACTTATGATTAAATCTTAAATGACAAAAAGAAAAACAGAAAGCAAACCCAGTATCCGTGCAATGATTACAATTAAAGACATACAATAAGGATAGAAATACACTCAAAAGTTAATAATAGAAATACACTCAAAAGTTAATAATAATATTAGGAGAATGAAATTCACTAGGGATGGCTTTTTCTCTTTTTAGAATTTTTAATAATATAGTTTTATATTATGTATATCTTTTTGTATGTTAGTGACATATTTACATGTATTTTACATATATCATTTTATAATATAGTACTCTTAAAATGAATTCTTTTTCAATGGTTAATAGAGAGGCAGTAAGTAACTGTAAAGAACAACCATTACCTCAGATACTCTCAGGATAGTTTCACACTTACTAAAGGATAGAATTCCAAAAATTTAGTTGCAGGTTGGTTTGAAGGAAACCTAGAAAATATTTCTCTCTAAACACAATGCCATTGATGAAAAGGGAAGTTAAGTTCTTGGGGAATGTTTGACCCAGGAAGCAATTAAACAGTATGCCTGTGTTCAGGGTCCTGTGAAGGTATCACAGGAAGTCAATGCCGAAGGCAGTAATAATAACTCATAAAAAGGGCAATTTATGCATGCATTTGCTCCGTGCCATGCACTGGGTAAAATCACTTGTATTAACCTACTTGACTCTCATTTAACCACATGAAGTAAGAATTACTAGCCTCCTCATCAAATAGGTAAGAAAAGGAAAGGAAGGTTTGGAGACATTAAGTACCTTGCCAAAGCCCACATGACTAGTAAATGTTAGCTTCAGATCTCAGCCCAGGTGGTCAGCTCCACATCCTTCACATGGATGTTTCCTCTTTTCTTCCCTTGGTGCCTGGGTAGGCCCAACACAAACCCTTGAATATTCAGGTTCCTTTGGGGCCTTCTACATCTCTCACACATTTGCCTTCCTTTTCTTCGGGACTGTCTGTTCAAATGCCTTCCTGGAGGTCTGCTCTCTTCCCTCAGGGTGACAGTAAGTCATCAGGTCCTGGGGCCAGTCAGACAACCTCTTGTGGACTTAATTGTAGGAGGCTTAAATGCTAAGACTGGCATTTTTTTTTTTTTTTTTGAGACGAAGTCTCATACTCTCGCCCAGGCTGGAATGCAATGGCATAATCTCTGCTCACTGCAACCACTGCCTCCTGGGTTCAAACAATTCTCCTGCCTCAGGCTTCCAAGCAGCTGGGATTACAGGCACCACCAAATTATACCATGCCTGGATAATTTTTTCTATTTTTAGTAGAGACAGGGTTTCACTATGTAGGCCAGGCTGGTCTTGAACTCCTGAACTTGTGATCTGCCCACCTCGGCCTCCCAAAGTGCTGGGATTACAGGCATGACCCACCACACCCAACGGGATTGGTAATTTTTAAAATAAAGATCTTGATCTTAGAAAACTCAGACTGGGAACACTGCTTTCCTTTTTTCTTATTTTTTGAGACAGGGTCTTGCTCTGTTGCCCAGGCTAGAGTGCCATGGCACAATCTCAGCTCACTGCACCCTATACCTCCTGTGTTCAAGCAATTCTAGTGCCTCAGCCTCCCAAGTAGCTGGGATTGCAGGCGTGCACCACCACAACTGACGAATTTTTGTATTTTTAGGAGAGCCTAGGTTTCACCATGTTGGCCAGGCTGGTCTTGAACTCCTGGCCTCAAGTGATCCCTCCATCTCAGCCTCTCAAAGTGCTGGAATCACAGGCCTGAGCAACTGCACTAAGCCCTGTGAACATTGCTTTTCTATTTTTAGAGGGAGAGTCCCCTAAAAGAGAGAACTGTCAAGTGTAAAGAAGTTATGACCATAAAATTATTACAGTGTTGAAACCAGAAAATACCTTGGAGACCACACATCCACCTCCCTCATTCTACAGAGGGGGAAGAGATTTTAAAACCTATCCAAGGGAGGGGGTACATGGGAAAATTTTGTATCTTCTGCTCAGTTTGGTTGTGAATCTAAAACCGCCCTAAAAATACAGCTGAACCTTGAATAACATGGATTTGAACTGCATGGCTCCACTTATACTCAAATTTTTTTTACCAACTGTGGACCAAAAATATAATATTCCCGGGATGCAAAACCTGTGTATACTGAAGACCACTTTTCCAATACGTGGGTTCCTCAGGGCTGACTACAGGACTTAAGCATACATAGATTTGGATAGATACAGGGTTCCTGGAGCCAATTTCTTCCGTATACTGAGGGACAAGTATAATTTAAAAAAAAAAAAAACCTACCCAAGAAGGAAACAGCTGTGAATAATCATAAACTAATATTGCTCAACTACTGCCTATAGGCTTTGTTCAAAGATAAAACATTTATTCTAAAAGCAAGGAACCATTATTAATAATTACTTATTAGGCCTTCATTACTAATCCTGCTTTTGAGACAATACCTGACCCAGTTAAAAACAATTACTTGGCTATATTTCTAAGTCTAAGTGCTCTCTCCAAAACTGTACGGAGAGCCAGCATAAGGAAGTTCGGGGTAAGGTTTCTTGGCTCCTGGGAGTAAACATCTGAAGTGTGAAGGGTCTGTCATCTGTCTGTCCATCTATTTTTCAAGAGAGACTAGCCAAGTGACTGGAGGCCACCCCTCTCAGTGTCTCCAGCTATAAAATGATGAAAAATACTTATCTCACAAAGTTGCTCTAAGAATTTAATAAGATGACGTACCCAAGCACACTGGTATACCTGCTACATTTCCAAGACACAAGTTTTTGTTTTGTTTTTGAGACAAAATCTCCCTCTGTTGGCCTGGTTGGAGTGCAGTGGCATGATCTCAGCTCACTGTAACCTCCACGTCCCAGGCTCAAGTGATTCTCCTGCCTCAGCCTCCCCAGTAGCTGGGATTACAGACGTGCACCTCCACACCCAGCTAATTTTTGTATTTTTAGTAGAGACGGGGTTTCACCTTGTTGGCCAGGCTGGTCTCGAACTCCTGATCTCAAATCCACCCGCCTCAGCCTTCCAAAGTGCTGGGATTAGAGGCACAAGCCACTGTGCTCAGCCAGGAACACAGGTATTTATTGGCTGTAATTACCAATGTGATTCATGTTCAACTGTTATCAGAGTATTGGCCAAGATAATGTTATCTCTGGAATTAATGAGATAATTTGTACTTTCTAACTCTGTAATTTCCATTTTTCTTTTAATAAATATATGATATTTTTATAATTAGAAAAACATAGTGACTTTTTTTTAAAAGTTCTTTTTAGGTCACGTGACTCCTGGTTGGTGTTTGGGAAAATGCCGTTACATCAGATTTATTTTCTTACACAAACATTTAAGTAACTGAGAGACCCTTAATTCTCACCACAGTCTCAGAGTTATCTTCTTTTTCAGTCAAGGCTGTCTTGAAGTGGCAGGACAGCTTTGACTGAAAACAAATGCAGGCAACAGGAAAGAAGTTATTTAGGGCAAGATTTACCACTCTTTTCCTTTCTAGAAGTCTGCCCTGTAGTTCGTTAAAAATGATCATGTTTTCATATTTGCTTTTCCTCTACTCAATTCAACCAGTCTTTTCTGAGTACCTGCTATTTTCAAGCAAAGGGAATAGGATATAAAGAGAATTAAAGCCTAGTCTTTGTGCTCAGAGTTTATTTCTTTTTCTAGATCTCAATTTCTGCAATTTCCTATCAAATATGCCAACAACTCCATCCCAAAGTGGGAGAAGAGATTCAACAAGATGGGTAAAACATTGAGAAGTCTTAAAGGTAGGCGATAGGTCCCTGAGCATCC